ACTGCTGTTTCGTTGGCTTATTTACAGGAAGAGGCGCTGGAGATTTCCAAACGACGGGAGCCAAGACGCTCGGAGAGCACCGCGGGAAACGGCATGAGCAGCCGCTCCCATCTCAAAGGGGCCATGCCATTGCCAGCACCTCTGGGACGGCCACCTCCTGCGGTCACCGTGCCGACAGATGAACGTCGGGGAGCAGCCGCTGATGGGCTAAAGGGGGGCAGTTTTATGGAAGATCGAATGACAACCCTGCGTGCCTATCGTCGAGCCAGAGGCCTCTGTTACATGTGTGGAGAGAGGTGGAGTCGAGAGCACAAGTGTGCAGCAGCAGTGCAACTCCACGTTGTGCAGGAAATGTTTGATGTGTTGGGTTTGTCCAGTGGCTCGACAGGTGAGGAACACTCAGATACTGCAAGTGAATCTCACACCATATCTAGGGCAGCAGTGCAAGGCTCAGTCGCACCTCAGACTCTGCGGTTGCAAGGCAAGATTCAGAATCAGCAGGTGTTGATGCTTGTCGACTCGGGCAGTTCGCATAGTTTTGTTAGTTCTGATCTGGCTGGCCGTTTGAAAGGAGTGCACAAGATCTCCAATGTTCTGAAGGTGAAAATAGCAGACGGAGGTCAGCTTCTCAGCGACCATGCTATCACGCAATGTGGGTGGTCAGTGCAAGGGCACAAGTTTACTTCTGACCTCAAGGTTCTGCCATTGGGGTGCTATGACATGATCATTGGAATGGACTGGTTAGAGCAACACAGTCCTATGGACGTGCACTGGGGAGACAAGAGAATGGCTTTCAACCACCATGGGAAGAAGATCACGTTGAGTGGCATACAACCTCACACCAAAGAGTGCTATCCTGTGACTATGGATCAACTGCACTTCATGATGAGCTGTAATGATGTGCATCAACTGGTGCATCTCCAAGCTGTGGATAACAAGCAGAAACAGCAGCCTGAGATGGAGATACCACCCCCAATAGCAAAACTCATCGACGAATTCCAGTCCTTGTTCGAGGCTCCGAAAGGCCTACCACCTGCTAGGCCTTTTGATCACAAAATACCACTCATACCTGGCGCTCAACCAGTGAACATCAAGCCCTATCGGTACAGTCCATTTCAGAAAGATGAAATAGAGAAGCAGGTTCAAGAGATGCTGGATCAAGGCATCATTCAGCCCAGCTACAGTCCGTTTGCTTCGCCAGTCCTGCTGGTTCAAAAGAAAGATCTCTCCTGGCGATTTTGCGTGGATTACCGGCAGCTCAATGCCATCACCGTTAAGGATCGTTTTCCCATGCCAGTTATTGAGGAGCTTCTTGATGAGCTTGCGGGATCCAAATGGTTTACCTGCCTGGACTTGAAGGCGGGATATCACCAGATTCGTATGGCACCTGAGGATGTTTACAAAACGGCGTTCAAAACCCACCTGGGGCACTATGAGTTCAAAGTGTTGGCATATGGACTGTGCTGTGGTCCGGGAACTTTTCAAGGGGGCATGCACTATGTATTGGGTCCTTTGTTGCGGCATGGAGTTCTAGTGTTCATCGATGACATCCTGGTCCATAATGAGACTTTGGAAGAGCACATCTAACTTCTCTGAAAAGTCTTTGAACTGTTGGACAAACACCAACTTAAGGTAAAGCTGTCCAAGTGCAAATTCGCCCAGCAACAACTCACCTACTTGGGACACGTCATCAGCGAGCAGGGTGTCGCCACTAATGAGAAGAATATCGCAGTTGTCAGAGATTGGCCGACACCTACTGGAGTTAAGCAAGTGCGAGGGTTTCTTGGTCTGGCAGGCTATTATAGGTGATTTGTACGTAATTTTGGGCTCATCAGTCATCCTTTGACAAATCTGCTGAAGAAACACTCTATTCTTGTGTGGTCGACCGAGGCAGAGGAGGCATTCAACCATCTAAAAAAATCTTTAATTTCAGCTCCTGTGTTGGCACTTCCTCGGTTTGACAGACCGTTCGAAATTGAGACTGATGCCTCTGAGTTTGGGGTGGGGGCTGTACTGATTCAAGATGGGCACCCGCTGGCTTTTCTCAGCAAAGCGTTGGGACCAAGGAACCGTGGTTTGTCCACCTACGAGAAAGAATGCATGGCAATCTTGATGGCAGTTGATCGATGGCGTGCCTATCTGCAAGGGAGTGAGTTCATCATCCGCACAGACCAAAGCGCATTGTCACATTTGAACGACCAACGGCTAGTGACTCCCTGGCAGAGACGTGCTTACACAAAACTCATGGGGATGCAGTACAAAGTGGTGTACAGGAAAGGGGTTGAGAACAAAGCGGCCGATGCCTTATCGCGACGAGATGCAGAAGTTTCGGCGATATCGGTGGCTCTACCTGTTTGGCTGGATGAAGTAGTGCAGGGCTACCAGACTGATGGAAATGCTAACGAGATCTTGCTTCGCTGCAAAGAGATGGGAGACACAGCCTCTGACTACTATGTTCGAGATGGGGTGATTTTTTACAAAGGCAGGGTGTGGATTGGTGCCAATACAGCCATGCAACAGAAACTCTTGCATGCCATTCATGCTAGTGCCACAGGGGGCCACTCTGGCATTCATGCCACCTATGACAGATTGCGACGCTTGTTCGCTTGGCCTGGAATGAAGCAAGATGTGGTGAACCTGGTGTCTAACTGCAGTGTGTGCAAGCAATCCAAAAGTGAATGGATCCGTACTCTTGGACTGCTCGAACCCCTGCCCATTCCACCTCATGCATGGCACACAGTTACTCTGGATTTCGTGGAAGGATTGCCAGTGTCTCGGGGTTACTCATGCATCCTGGTAGTGGTAGACAAGTTGACCAGGTATGCTCACTTCATTCCGCTTGCTCATCCTTTCTCAGCCTTGCAAGTCGCGACCGCATTCATGACTCATGTCTACAAGCTTCACGGGCTGCCTCATGCTTTGGTCTCAGACCGTGATAAAGTTTTCACCAGTCTTTTGTGGAAGGAAATGTTCAAACAAGCGGGGACCGAGCTCCGGATGTCTTCTGCGTATCATCCCCAGACTGATGGAACCACCGAGAGAGTGAATCAGTGCATGGAGACCTATCTTCGTTGTTTTGCTCATTCTTGCCCACATAGATGGTTCCAGTGGCTGCACCTCGCCGAGTTCTGGTACAATACGTCATCTCACTCTGCGTTGTAGGCTTCGCCGTTTGAGATGCTGTATGGGCACCCTCCTCGCCATTTCGGGATCGTGGACGCGTCCGCATCAGCCCCAATGGATTTGGTAACCTGGCATGAGGAAAGGGCAGTGGTTTCAACCTTGTTAAAGCAGCAGTTGGAACGATCCAGGCAGCGGATGAAAGATCAGGCGGATAAGCATCGATCGGAGCGAGCCTTTGCAGTGGGAGACTGGGTGTACGTGAAGCTACAGCCTTATGTGCAGGTCTCAGTCGCGGCTCGGGCTAACCATAAGCTATCCTTCAAGTACTTTGGTCCCTTTCAGGTGACGGCGCGCATTGGAGCAGTGGCGCAGTCGTGTTCACCCAGTGTTCCACGTGTCCCTGCTGCGAGCAGCGCTGCCACCGGGCACCGACGTGGTGACTGCTCTTTCGGAACCACCGTCGGCGCATGCAGCGCCGGGTTTTCCTGAACGTGTGCTCGCTCGCCGGGTCGTCACCAAAGGACAGGCGCAACTTCCTCAAGTGCTGATCAAGTGGACTTCGCAACCGGAGGCGCTGGCAACCTGGGAGGACTTCTTCGAGCTCAGGAGCCGTTTTCTAGGTGCTGCGGCTTGGGGACAAGCCGTTTATGAAGACCGGGGGGATGTCACGGCCCCTTCTACTACAGGCCACCAGGAGGCCCGGTCCAAGAGGACCAAGAAGCCCAACAGGCTGTTCGACCCGGCCACCTGGGAGCTTGGTGGGTGATCGATAAGTAGGAGTGAGCCCGAGGTGTTAGGGCACGGTGGTAATGAGTGGATCGCTTCCCCTTCTCTTTCCCCTATCCTCCCACCTCCTGTAACCTCTACCTCTCGATCCCCTTCTCCTCTCAAGAACCCTAGCCCCGAATTCCCCTGTATCGCCATGAATTGAGTAGATCGAGCAAGAGGGACGTAACAAAGTGAAATAATACTGGAACACAGGAATTGATAGATTAACAAAATGCGGGACGGGAAGGGAGCACAGACAATTAGGAAGTAGAAAGAGGAAGGAAAGAATCAGGAATAAAGCAAGGCCTGAACCTTACAAGCAAGCAAAGGCCCGTCTACCACGTTTAAGGGCAAGTGACTTTTGATAAGCTCATGATGATGTCCATCATTATTGAGATGATTTGTCCGGATCTTCTTCCAGTGCTATTTTACAGACTACCGCGATCTACCAGCGCTGATCTGTGGATCTATCTGCCCGTTACTGAACCCGTTCGTCTCATACAGCTAATTTTATTCAAATGAACTTCATAATCATAGGACTGAGCAACAAAGACCATGATCTGAAAATTCAATCCAGTTTGAACTCTGAACATCGGTGCTTTCAAACAGGATCACCCTTTGACTTGACTTGCACACATCAGATAGACTGACGGACAGAGCAGACTGCAGAGCAGGCCACCGTCAAAGTGGAAGCCGGTCAATGCTGCATGTGTGTGGTCCGAACCGAAACCAAAAGCGCACAGTGCAGAGGAACCAAACTCTGTGATCGGATCAGAGACCCAGCCAGTTCAAGCTGGTACACGCCAGGCGCACATGGCAGCTTGCCCCGGGAAGAAGCCAGGGACCAGAGTCACATGACCATGCCCATGCCCAGACCCTCTTTTTTTTTTCCCAGCAGTTGCAGTGGGATCTACTCCACTCCACTCAACAAGGCAATCAATCGGCAGCCACCTTTTCCGGCTCCCTTCCTCCCCCATCTTTTATAAACCAGCACATAAACTGCTAGAGCTAGAGCTAGAGACCCCAGCCCCTTCCCTGTCTCTTCTCGGCCTCTCCTCCTCCAGTCTTGGCCTCCTTGCTTGGTGCTGGTGCTGGTGCCGGAGAGCAAGATGGCCAGGGGGTCTCAGCCATCTGCATCGCTCCTGCTCTTCTCTCTGGGGCTTGTGCTCCTCTGCTTCACCTCAGGTGACCTCTCTGCCTCCTCCGATTAGGCGACCTTGCTAGCACAGCAACACTGTTTGACTGTTTGTTCAGTACTAGGGTCCGTGGGGTTGCTCCGATGGCTTTGTCCTGTAGAAAGAAAGGGAAACTGTGCCCACTCGTTCCACCTTTTTTCTTCAGTTTTTGTTCCTTTCTGAAACTCTGGATCGCACTTTTCTGCCGCATTTTTCACCATGTTTTGGTCGATTTGGTCCAAAATGTGGTCGATGTTATGATTAGTGGAGTGTGGTACATGTTAATTATCTCGTCTAATTCAGATGAGAGGGCGGAACCCAGTTACTATCTTGCTGTTGTTTCTTGCCAAGATCTACCAGCGTGTTCTTGATTTAGATACGCATTTGTTCCAAAATAATCATCAGTTGAACTTGATCCGAAGCAACTCACAAATTTTTTCTAAGAAACTGACATTTCTCTGTTGTTGATTGAGCAGGAAGCACCGTGAGGCTGGCCGAGGCACAGGTACCTTAAGATCGCCCCCCTCTTCCTTCTCTACTCGTCATAGCAATGCATGTGTATCTGCTGATCCAACTAACTTGGGTGGTGGCAACTTGCAGAAAACGTGGTGCATGGCGAAGCCGTCGTCGGACGAGAAGGTCCTGCAGGCCAACATCAACTACGCGTGCTCCAACGTCAGCTGCGCTGTGATCCAGCCGGGCGGGCCGTGCTACAACCCCAACAACCTGCTGTCGCACACCTCCGTCGCCATGAACCTCTACTACGCCGCCAACGGCCGGCACTCCTGGAACTGCTACTTCGCCGACTCGGGCATCGTCGTCAAGTCCGACCCCAGTGAGTGGCCAGCCACTTGCCTGCCTACCTGCAGAGATCTCGGCCATTATTCTTTACAGCTCTGACAGACAGCGGTCGTTTTGCAGGTTACGGTTCGTGCACCTACTACTGATCTCTCTTCCTCGCCGAGGTCGAGCGATGCAGATGGGTCGCAGTAGGTTCTTCTTGTGTTTAATTGGTCGCGCGAGGAGCTGCATGTTGTTGTGAGCTACAGTAACTAACTGCTCCAGCATGATGATTAATTTGTTGAGGTGCAGAGTGTGTGTTGGTGTGGGTTAACTGCTAGTCTGTGTTTGCCTGTTATTGTTGGAGATGTCAGATGTCCATCCATTCACTGATCGATCTCTCCGGTGGGGAACTTGTTAATCCATGTTTGTCCGGTTACTTATTTATTATTGTTGTCCTATGACTGCATGTGTGTCGTGCTCCTGATGACGTGGGTCGTAAGATTTAATTTCAGTTACCTACTCCCTCCGTTCCAAATTACTCCATTCCAAATTACTTGTTCAAATTTCAGGTTGTTGAACTAAAACCACGACGAGTAAGTAATTTGGAACGGAGGAAGTACCTACAGAAATACAGAGTCGAGGCCAAAGCATAGTTTTTCTCTTTGATCTTCTAAAAAACAGTTTTCCTATTTTCTGCTGCTGGGAATAGTGGATATCCTCCTATATTCGTATGACGGGGAAGGGTTATATATATAAGTGAACAAGTACCATTGCGTTTCTCTGTTCCACTTCCATCGGATACGAAACGAAACGAAAAGTTTACTTGAACGCACTCCACCGCCCATCCAAAGATAGAAGTCTCGTCTCTATATTATCTATATCTATATATCTATCAATATCTTTCCCTACTAATAAAGCACGGAGTGCTTCTGCTCGTCCGTCATTAAAAATGCCCTTGAAGTTGTAAATAATTACCCACCATGTCATTGGTAAGTGGAAAAAACGGTTCGGTTTACCCTTTTCTAAAATCCGCGACTTACTCAACTTATTAAAGAGAAGCCCCTGTAATTAACAGCGTGCATGTGTGTGGCGCAGTGGTGTGAGGCTCGTCTGTTTACCTGCGAGACCCAGGTTCGAGTCCACTTGCTCCCTTTTCCTCCTTTTATTTTTCTCTCCTATTAATGTTGGTAGGCGTAGGATATTACTACTTGCTCCAGCGTCACTTAGCAGATGGGCAGCATAATGTACCAGTTACTCTATTTTTTGGACATATTCATATATTTCAAAAAAAATCATAACTTTCAAACCCTAACTCCAAATCTAACATGTTATGTATAGAAATCCCTTAAAAAGATGTGTAGATTTCAAATATGGTATTATATTAATCACTTTCAATGTCAAAAAAACTCATAACTTTCAAACCCTAACTTCAAATCTAGCATGTTATATATAGAAATCCCTTAAAAAGATGTGTAGATTTCAAATATGGTACTATATTAATCACTTTCAAATCCTAACGCCAAATCTAACATGTTATATATGGAAATCCCTTTAAAAAGATGTGTAGATTTCAAATATGCTATTATATTAATCATCATTCCTAAAATTCCATTTATGATGCAACCTTTATTAATATCTTCTTTATATGGGGTATTTTGAAAATCCTGGCTTAACGTTGATATTTCTGTAGTCTAATAAATTGGAAACATGTTGAATACATTTCACAAATAATACAACCTTATGAACTTACACCACTTATCATGTTGTTTCTCGTGGGGCATTGTGAAAGATTTGAAGGGATTCGCCGATGCTCTCACGTGTGCATATGAGGGATGATTTTTTTCCGTTGCAACACAGGGAATAATGCCTTTCCATGGAATCTGAAGCATGCATGGTTAAAAAAGAAATTCCGAATCATACACCTGATTTCATGAAAATTATTGTGACCTCTTCAAATAGAAAATTCGTTTTAGTGTGGTATGTGCAAATCTGTTTATTATGTTTCCTTCTATATGAAAGAAAATTGAGTTGTACTTTAGACTTTATAGGTCTCCGTGCATGTAAGTTTAGAAGAAATTTGGTAACGAAAATCAGTAATGGGCATCTGGTAACTTACCAATTAAACCTTAATTTCTTATATATGTACATACATGTACGATCCTCATGATTTAGGCTCTCAATGATAAATCAAATGATGAAGGTAATGACTCATTATACTACAAATTAACTAGGAAGGTAATTTAGATATTTAAATTAATCAATTCTTTCAGGATTGAAGTGTAGCATCTCATACATGCATTTTAAGATCATTGGTAAAATATACATTACATGGCTGATGCAACAGAATGTTATCTTGGGTCATTGGGCTAGGGAGGTGTGTTTTGATTCTCCCGGTGCAACGCACGGGCATATTTACTAGTTTATATCGATATGTATTTCTATATCCTATCTATCAAACCCTAACTCCAAATCTAACATGTTATGTATAGAAATCCCTTAAAAAGATGTGTAGATTTCAAATATGGTATTATATTAATCACTTTCAATGTCAAAAAAACTCATAACTTTCAAACCCTAACTTCAAATCTAGCATGTTATATATAGAAATCCCTTAAAAAGATGTGTAGATTTCAAATATGGTACTATATTAATCACTTTCAAATCCTAACGCCAAATCTAACATGTTATATATGGAAATCCCTTTAAAAAGATGTGTAGATTTCAAATATGCTATTATATTAATCATCATTCCGAAAATTCCATTTATGATGCAAACTTTATTAATATCTTCTTTATATGGGGTATTTTGAAAATCCTGGCTTAACGTTGATATTTCTGTAGTCTAATAAATTGGAAACATGTTGAATACATTTCACAAATAATACAACCTTATGAACTTACACCACTTATCATGTTGTTTCTCGTGGGGCATTGTGAAAGATTTGAAGGGATTCGCCGATACTCTCAGGTGTGCGTATGAGGGATGATTTTTTTCCGTTGCAACACAGGGAATAATGCCTTTCCATGGAATCTGAAGCATGCATGGTTAAAAAAGAAATTCTGAATCATACACCTGATTTCATGAAAATTATTGTGACCTCTTCAAATAGAAAATTCGTTTTAGTGTGGTATGTGCAAATCTGTTTATTATGTTTCCTTCTATATGAAAGAAAATTGAGTTGTACTTTAGACTTTATAGGTCTCCGTGCATGTAAGTTTAGAAGAAATTTGGTAACGAAAATCAGTAATGGGCATCTGGTAACTTACCAATTAAACCTTAATTTCTTATATATGTACATACATGTACGATCCTCATGATTTAGGCTCTCAATGATAAATCAAATGATGAAGGTAATGACTCATTATACTACAAATTAACTAGGAAGGTAATTTAGATATTTAAATTAATCAATTCTTTCAGGATTGAAGTGTAGCATCTCATACATGCATTTTAAGATCATTGGTAAAATATACATTACATGGCTGATGCAACAGAATGTTATCTTGGGTCATTGGGCTAGGGAGGTGTGTTTTGATTCTCCCGGTGCAACGCACGGGCATATTTACTAGTTTATATCGATATGTATTTCTATATCCTATCTATCAATATCTACATCTACAACTACATCTATATCTTCTATATCTAGTTACTTTGCATCAAAATTTGTCCCGTAAGGTTCTCTTATTGTGTTACAAAAATTTTTGGACCCCATGCCAGCGCACAGGCATATACCTATTCCAAGAAAAGAACAAAAATCTTTCAGATCTAATGTTAGATTTTTCTAACTTGGGCCACCAAAGTTTTCGGCCGTCCGATCACGCCGCAAGGTCCCAACAAGGCCTCCCAGACGATTTTTCGGCCGCCGGCCTCGAAAATTTGCCCAGTTGCATCCCCAAAGGCCTTTTTTTCGTCGGCTCGGGTCGAAATTGACGCCGGCGGACCCAGGCCGAACCCTGCGCGCTGGGGGGTGCTTGGGGGCGCCGCCCGAATCGTTTTTGGCGCGAAAATCGGCGGGCCCTTCTTGGCAGCGACTCGGCTCTTCTCGCCGCTTCGTCGTCCTCATCGCCTCGGTTCCCGCGGCGGAATCAATGCCAAAGCTGTCGCGCCGGTCAGCCTCCTCCATTGATGCCTCACGGGCGGGGCAGTGAAGACGGGACGACGCGCGTCCCTCGCCCGCCACGCGTACACACGGCGGCCACGCGTACGGGCGGCGCCTCCGCCTATATAAGTCGCCCCCAGCGCGCCGGTGACGCACAGGCTCTCCACCGCTGACGCCCCCGTTCCTCGACACCCCCATTCCTCCCTCTCTTCTCGCTATTTTCAGTTCAACCATGGCCGAGCGCTTTTTAGGCGATGGCGCGGTGGCGAACGGCTTCGGCCGCCGCCATCTTCACGAGGACGAAGCTCGGCTCCTCTATGAGGCCGGGTACCCGGTCCCGCAGGACATGCGGGTGCCCGGGGCGTGGAGGATCAACGCCGGCGGGGTCCCGGTGCCATCATCGCCCACCGGGGCGGCGCAGCGCGCGGAGATCGCGCGTATCCGCGCCTCTCTGCCGCAGGCTGCGAGGGAAGGTCCATGGTACGTCCCCGACAGCCCGCTCTGGGAGCAGTACTTCCGGCGCCGCCACACCGAGCAGCTCGAGGCCACCAACGGCGTCGTGCCCTCCGGAAGGCTCAACTCCGAAGGCCGCCGCCGATGGTGGGGCGTGCCCGGCCGCATGCTGGAGGCCGTCCTCGAGTACATCGAGGGCGGCAACACGCCCATGCTGGAGTACCCCTCTCCCCCGTCCTTCTCCCGGCGGCGTGGGAGCTCGTGGACGCCGAGGCGCATGGATCCCGGGGCGTCCCCCTCCTCGTCCGGCTCTCCCTGCCTCCGCCCCGTCAAGCCGGAGCCCCAGGACACGCCGGTCAGCCATCGCACCCGCAGCTCCGGCGTCCGCATCGCCGACTCCTCCCCCACCTCTGGCCGCCTCATCCTCATCAGGCCGAAGGAGGAGCCCGGCCTCCCCGCGGAGTACGAGGCCGTTGTCCGGCGCGGCTTCTCCGACGAGGCCGCCCTAAAGTGGGCGCGGGACGACTACCTCCGAGACAAGATGGTCTGGCAGCTTCGAGCCCTAGAGGAGATAGCCGCCCGCAAGCGTGGGCGCGAGGACGAGAGCAACA